TTCAGTCGTCACCAAATGGATCCCAGTCAATGACAAAAGTCTGGCAGCTGCGATTTTCACCGCTGGAAATCAACTTTCTGGAATATTCGGAAACATTCTCATCGCAGAGTTATGCGCCAGCCCTGTATTCGGATGGAGCTATATTTTGAACAGTGCTAGCCTTTCTGGAATCTCATGGTTGATTCTTTGGCATATGACAGTTATGGCCTCTCCCCCTGAGAGTACATGGATTCACGCTACACAGTTGGATAATCCAGCCGATCAGATTCCTCCAAAGCGCGTATCGGTGTCCGTAAAGTTCGTGGTCACTGCATTCTCAGAGTTATTTTTTTATTTACGGTGCTCGAAAAGTAGTTGAGCAGCTGAAATGAAATTCTGAACAGATTCGTATCAAGTACTCACAGTGAATTCCGCCAATCTTCAAAATAAAAATCGCCATCACTTCAGCTCCCCACTCAAATATGCCTTCTTGATTTTTTGCTTCAACTCCACGTTCAAAGCAGCTTTAAATCTGAGTAGTTAAAGTTCACGTTTCAATCAGGAATTATTCGAACTATTTTCCCCACTGAGAGAAACACAGAAATGAAGTTGCTTCTTTTCGGTGTTTTTACGTGTCTTTTCTTTCTACACAGAAAAGAAGTTACTTCGTTTCTGTGTTTTTTTTGTTGATAATTTGTCTTTTTTTCTTTTATAGTTGATGATCTAAATAAATAATTTTCACGTGAACATGAATAATTAATTACTATTGTAACCATTGAAAAATAATCGATTGGAATAGAACACAGGAAATAGTTTCCTACTGTACACTACTCTATTTTTAAGTAAATTTGCACCGAAACATCAGATCAGATTACTTTTATTGACTCTAATATATTCTCTGGAAAAACACATAAAAGTATATTTTTTACTAAAAAAATTGACTAAATTTGATATTATCAAATTTAGTTGAATTGAAAATATTGATTCTGGAAGAAACTATGGCCGGGCCTGCGAAGGCCTGCCAGGAATTTACAAGTATGCTGTAGTTGCTTCTGAACAAAGGCTACTAATTTTTAGTCGGGTAAAAAACTATCCCGAAAAGTGTTTGATTATCCTACAAAACAAAAAAAGTTACCTCAATGTATGGTTCTGGAACATTCTTGATTCCTGGAATCCAATCGAAGTCATCCCCACACCCATCCAATTGGAACCGTCCATCGTCATTCGAGAATGTAACCCTGAAAAACGAAATTTCAGATGAAAACAATACTGATAAAATATAATCATACCCCATCAAATCATCTGGATCAATCATTTGAAGTGGTCCCGGTCCATCTCGATCCCAGACACGAACCTAGAAAAGAGAGAATGAGTACGTGACAGGAAGAACAAATTGGTATAGCATATCACATAATGGAATAGATAAGAAAACCTAACCTCCACATTGAGATTCTTGGTCGGATCACTTTGACATTCGACTTTTCCAAGTACCCAAACGCATTCTCTACCGGCGAGAGATAAGGGGAAAATGGAGATGCAGAGATAGATAAGATGTTTTAGCATGGTCTTTCGTAGGTTAAACCTGGAAATGAATGGATGAAGAGAATTAAAATTGAAAAAATTGTAGTAAATGGATAAGGAGAGCTATATTAACACAAACCGTATATTTTCGATATATAACACTTTGAATGAATCAATTTAGGTTTTCATCAACAACGCGTTTGCGGATTAGGAACGGATTTACTATGGACATGTTATTATTTCGAATGACATGTCGATATTTTGAAACATTAAACTCTAAAAAATAGAGATATCAGGTGAGAATGAATCATCAATTTGTCACCGAGATTTAGTTACAGTGCTTGAAAAAAGATCAACCGAACTACATTGGAAATAAGAAAATTTTGATTTCTTATGATTGATGCCTCCAACTGACAATAGAATCCTGAATGACATCTACAATGTTTTCAAACTAAAGACTCATGAAACAATCAATCGAAAACTGAAGGAAGGAACTAATACGAGACCCTAATTGAAATTCTTGATTCATTTTAAACAGTTAAAATTGCCAAAACAAACAAAAAAAAATAGGAAAGTGTATTAAGATGTACAAAGAGAAAGTTGTAAGTATTCCTGAAACCAGTTTCTTTTCTGAAACCGAAACGTCGGTATAGACCTCGCCAAATATATGGAAAACTACAAAAGATTTTTGGTAGATAACGAAAGTTAGTGAATTTCCTCAAAAAAAAAGAACCAATAACCATAGTCAAATGGTGTTCTATCCTTATTATCTTTGGAAGCGAGTCTATCGATGAAAACTGGATACTCCGCCGATAAAACAGAAATCAGAATGAATGAGAATATGTGGAGAAAATCGATCGAGATGAAGAAGAAATCTTGTGGGAAAAAGAAGGAATTAGTCATCGAAAAGCGATCTACTACTGACTGGTTTCTGGTGATTCCGACCCATTTTTAATGAAGGTCACAGCTATTTTTTCTTTTGATTGATGAATTTGGAAAATTTTCTATCTCTCTTCAAATTAGGAGGTCAAATATATTACGGTCCAAACCAGTCAACCAACGACTTGATAGAATATCAGTGTTACAAATTTATTAAATACAATCAATTTCAATTAAAGAATTATATAATTTTTTAACCCAAAATGATAGGATGTTTCGTGAAATAATCATTGGTCTCTGGAACGAACACCTTCATATTCCTCGGATGGGCATATGTGACTTCCGCTCTAAATATTTTATATGTCAAATAAAGTTTATGTTATTACTTTGGAAACTTACCTTCCCTTACAGTAGTGACGAATTTTGAGATAGAATTCTGGTTCGTTTTTTACGAAGAGAAAATCGACATCAGAAGCGCATCCTTCCACTTTGAACGTTCCATTATCTTCGGCAGAGGTGATTGTTCTTCCAGCCAAATCATCATCGACGAAAAGGGTTAGGGGAAACTGAAAATATAATTTTAAACCAGTCTTTGTTTTCTGTAAATCACTTACAAAGGAACGATCCTTGTCCCAGATCTCTACCACAACATTCTCTAACTTTGTTGGGTCAGAGCAGTGGAGTTTTCCAACGAACCACGCACAGTTGTTGGCTGCAGAACACAAAAGAACCAATGAGAAAAAGAAGGAAACTTTAGTCAAAAAGATTCGCATTTCTGTAAAAGTTATATTCGAGCTGTATTCAGAAGTAGTTTTTTCTTCGATTTTCAAGGGAAGGAATAGCCAGATTAAATGAAAACAGTGAGCAAGAAAGAGAAGAATGACTCAAGACAAACGGCGGCGTGCTCGCGTGCATTGTTTACCCAAGCTCTTGGGTTACCAAATGGTCACTTTTTAGCACCTCGTCGTCGTCTCACGAAACAAAGAAATTTGTATTCGATGATAACTTCTATTCATATTTAATAGATTCGCTGTTGAACTGCAGGCTGAGAACTTTAAAAATCAATCTTGTCTACTGGGAGCCCAGCAGTCACGTCTTTCTAGAGCCCTGATGGGAGATATGTGGGAAACTTTTTCAATCGGAAACGAAATACCACGAGCTTCTGGGAGACACGAGGCACAAAGATGATCATCAGGTCGCTCAAAAAAAGAGGAGGGAATGGGAACAGTTGCTCTATGCCTTTCTCAACACCACCGGATCTCTTGCATCTGGAGCTCGATTTTCTGGAGCTCAGTTTTTAACATATTGTAGACGGTTTCTATCAGAATAATGTTACCATCATTCGAGGTCAATTTATTCTTTCCCAAGTATAGCTATGAACACGAACGCACAATAAATTATAGGCAAAACACCAATTGAAACATACATCACAATTAAAAACTCCATAAACATTAAATTAAGCATGCGACATTTCGAATACTCCACAGCGAACATCAACAGGCCAGAATATTCTAAGAAGAGATTATACGACAGCAGAGATAACCAGATCGGACACGAGTGGTTCATTCGATCTGAAAATGCGGATTCACAGAAAGAATAAAAATGTTAAGAACTCACTTGATTATTATGTTCATTGCAATAGAGTTATCACTTGGGTCAATGGCGACAGTTGCTTTAGAAAGAACGTCATATCCTCCACGGAAAACTCCGGAGAGATAAACAGTATGTTGTGTTTTTCCTTCAGGTACCCGATCTGATCTTTCACACGGAACGAGACCAAGAATTTCGGATACTTTCTTGACAGCATCAGGAATGTTTTCAACAGTTGACAGCTGGAATGTCTCTTCCCTTGTTGCATCATCTCCTAGTGCTTCCCAGGCTGACGCAAATGCTGTTTTAGCAACACTCTGAACAGAATCCGACACGTTCACATCGACTTCTTCCAACTGAAACATTTTTTTTTAGATGGAATACCCATTTAGTTTCCTACCACATAGGTTTGATCATAAGTGTCATCTGAATCTGGCTCTCCAGACGTCGGATCCACATCCATCACCTTAAACTTCAAAATAGCTCCCAATGATCCAGCAATTGCTCCGGAATCCGGGAATTCAAGAAGAGAATAGGCGGAATGTACTTCTCCGTATGGTAGCTTTTCGATTATAATAGTATCCTTGGTCTCCCATTCGCCATCTGGATCTTCCAATTCAACAGATACGTCAAGAAGAAGTTGGTCATTCATTGTGTTTTTACATTCGAACTGAAAATTTGACGGTTTTTTTTCTGAAAATAGAGCAACTGATCACCTGCAAGACCATGGCGTTGGCGAATGTGTGTTTGATCATGTGAACAGTGTATTCAGCAATAGATTCGGTGAGCGCGATTCTAGCAGATGACTTGAAAACTGGACCAAGAGCAGCGAATTGAGGGATAGCGGCGAGCTGTGCAGCATAAGGCTCGACCTTCGGAGCTTTCGGCTTCTCCTCTTCTTCAACAAGTTGTGGAACACGTTTTTCTGGTTGGGAAAGAGCTTGCTGAGTAACTGGAACCGTTCGCAAATCGAATGGTGAAGAATATGTTTGAGAGCGGAGATAATCCAAAATTTTGAGCTCAAGACCTGATGGTGATACTTGAAGGCCATCCAGAATGAAGTTATGAATAAGAGACTCAGATGCTTCTGTCAACATTTTCAGGTAGAATGTGGCACGGTCTCGAACTTCATCGTCAGAATCCAAAAGGCATCGCTTAAGGAGAACCTGGATCGAAGGGCGGAGATCAGAACACTGAGCTCCGAACTTTGCAAGCGCCGTAACTGCAGCTGCTCGAACCTTTGTGCTCTCCAGGATCACACGATTGTAGATAAAACGGATGTAGCTCGATGGGTTAGGGGTTTTTGGTGCTTCTCTTCCCAATAGATGGAGTACTCGAGTAGAAAGATTATCGTGCTCACAATCCTCAATGAACTCGCACAAATGAGCCAAACCAGCAACTTTAGCGTCTGGATTCTCCTCGATGATAGCAATGATAGTCTCGACGATAGCTTTTTTGTAATCATAGCTGCCGTCATTGCGAAGCATCTTAGCTAGGAATGGCATCATGACTGTATGCTTGCGTGGATAGCGAGAACAAAGAGAACGAATGGCGTCGACAACAACAATCTTGAATTCGTCAGAAATTTCGTTGACGAATCCAGAAATTTGTTGCATCAGTCTCTCTACACTGGACTCGGCACCAGTCTTCAACAGAGTTGTGATTGCAAGAGTTGCAATAGATCTGTTTGAATCAGTGATAAACTTTTCGAGGTCCACGTTGCAGCTCATAACAGCGTTTGGATGAGCCATTGCCACCTTGTTGAGCGTACGAACTGCGGCGAAGCGGACAGCAGCTTTAGGCGATGTGCAGCACATCTGAAGAGCAGTGATGGCTGGTTGAATTTCTGACCTACAAACATGTGATTATTGATAAATATTGAATACACTGATCTTACGGTGTTGTCTGGGGAAGAGAAACAATAGCTCTAGCTGCTTCATAGACAACCATCTCGCTCTTGTGGCGGAGGCATGACTCGATGAATGTGAAGACTGAAGAATCTGGTCTGAAAAATTACTAACTGAAAAGCATGAAGTTTTTTGAAAGTCTTACTGGTCATCATCTACAAGGCATCTGGTGGCGATACGGATGAGATAGCACACGGCGTATGGACTTCGAAGAGCGTTCTTACTGAACTTTTGTACAAGTTTGTTAACAGCAAGGCGATCATTGGCACGGATTTGATAGAGAAGAGCAAGAGAATGATATTGAACCATGTGATTGTCAGATGAGACAGCTTCTTGAACTTCATTGGCCCAGCGACGAACAACTTCGGAAGATTTACGCATAAGATGAATAGATGAAGCAATTGCGGATGATGAAATTGCGCTGTTACGATCGACGATAGCCTGTTTCATGTATCGCTCGATAGTTTGCAACATTCCGGTGTCCGTGATTTTGCAAAGAGCTCGTATGGCTGCGGCTCTGTACAAATCTTCTCTTCCGGTCATGTCTTTGGTGAGACTAGAGGTCACAATGATAACATCATCGGAGACTTCAGCCAGTTCTTTCACAGCCAAGTAAATCATCCGACGAAGATTCACATCTTTGCTTTGCCATAACTTCGTTACTCCGAAGAAGGCTTCCGTAGCCTCAGTTCTTCCGATCGGTTCTCCTTGCTGAATGATGTAGATCAACTTAGTCAGGCTATGGGTGCATTTTTTGATATTAATCGGTGTTTCGTTGAAAGCACGGCATTCCTGCAGCACCGAAGTTTTGTCTAGGTGGGCATAGACGTTTCCGCCTGACTCCTCGTCTTTCTTGTTTGTCTTCATTCTAGAAGATTGAGCTGAAATAGACAAGATAATGATGTAGATTTAGAAGAATGTTCAAATGGTCAAAGGATATAGAAGCTCTATAGAAGTCTGAATACTAAAAAATTAATGAAAAGGACTGTTCTATGTTATGGAATAAATCCTATAGAACCGTTGAAAGTTTAATATAAATAACAGTGTCTTGATTTTTTATTAAATATAAAAGGGTCAACTTAAATGGGTAAAAACGAACTACGAATGTTGTGTAGGAGCAATAAGAGAGTCATGCAGAAAATTGGATAGGTTAACTAAATGGTATAATAGAAGGAACGGACAGATACCAATCACGAGACAACACTTTTTAGATTACCTCCTTTTGTTTTTGGAGCTCCGCTCATTTTCACGTGAAAAGGACCTTTCACCTAAATTTATCTGTAATTAGGTTCGGATATAATAATCACCACATTCAGTTAGAGTTAATGAAAAAAGTTTGTTAACAATTTAGAAAATTTTCGGCTTGTTAGGAACTTTATCTATGTTAAAAAGGCAAAACCTTAGTCGAAAAAGCAGCGCCGATGCTACGTGTAATGTCTGTGATCCGACGTTGTGTGTTGGGTCCTGGACGCAAACACTCGCTGCTGACCGTAATCTTGTTGGAAATTAGTCATTTCTATGTTTCAGCTGTGGACCTTCGATTTTCTTCTTTTTGGCTCCGCTTTGTTGTTATGAGCGTTAATTTTTTTTTCCTGAATAAAACTCTTGAGTATCTAAGTAATTAGGTCATGTAAGCATGCACACTTGTGCAAAGTGCAATTCGTTCATAATTCAAAAGTCTCATGAATTATTGAAAAGTTTCTCCGTATTCCCAGAGAGGAGAGACCACATTGCAAGCTGTTGTACGCCACCATTTATCAGATTTGCATCAAAGCTCCCCAGAGGTCTCGAACAAAGATGCTAGTTTTTTTGCGCTTGCAGTGTGTTGTCTAGCCGAGTTTTTTTTTCTGTAAATATGTTGCAACACCCACAAATTCTCTATATTTATAAGTCCTTCGATTGTACCCCTTTGGAATCAGTATTGTCGGAATTATAAAACTGCGATCTGCGGTGTGCAAAACACTCAATTTTTGTACTGAGTCTGCATACACCGAAGTCGCAGTTTTATAATTCCGTTACACCTTCATATATAATGTTCAGTCTGAAAATATCAATTTTTCCCATGTGACTTTTTCCCAAAGGAACTCCTTTTCTTCCGTAAATTCTTCATATCGTCTTTCAAACTTTTCGATACCCTAACCTATCCGTTTTTCACCAATTCAAGGGCGTATTTCGCTTCCCTTCACATAATTACCCTCTTCTTACTTCTTCTACTCCCTCCTGCCGCCTTGTTCGAAAAGAATGAAAACCGGTGGCAAAATGATTCAAACTATTGATTGATTTGATTTACTTTACCATTGGTTTTCTTTCTATCTTCTCACTTCTATCATCTGCATCAATGAAAAAGATGTAGGCGAAATAATTTCTGCAAATCCTGCCAGGCCACACTGGAGAAAATGAGAAAGAGGCGACTAGTAACAAGATAACGTATTACGCTTCTCTCCGTCTCTCAGATTCCTGAATCCATTATTTCGTATAGAATACTGAAAGGAAAGGAGCGGAAGCTAAGAAGAACATTTTTCTTGGAACATTCTGTTTGCACATTCTTCGTCTCTATTGACATTTTATGTGAATCATCGGTCACTTTTCTTTTTTTTTCTTCCTGTTCCCTGCAAAGAATCTCTTACAAAATTCTTCGTTTTTGTTACAACATTTTAATTATATATGAATAGTTAATTTTCAGCAAAATTGCTCTTCGGCCAGAACACCAACGGCCACTTCTTGCCCCACAAATGGCGAATCGACGCCAGCCAGTACCACAAAGAGCGCAACAACGGGTATATAGACAATCTGTGAGTAAACATGCTATTCTTCAATTTCATTATTACGAAGTTTAAGCAAATTCGATATGCTCCTGGCGCTGGAGGGGAATCTGAAATTAGTTGCTGCGTGAAGTATTCCGTATTTAGTTTCAATGTAATATTTTTCTTACTGGGTGAGTCGATTCTTTATAAAATCATATAGCTGTTATTCGTATTCTAGGTTTCGGACTACTGCTCTTTGGAGTGTGGGCTCAAATTGAGAAAGATACGTTTGTAAATCTCCTCAGTAAAGCCTCAAAGCTTTATCTCGATCCTACATGGCCTCTTCTGATCGTTGGATTCCTGACATTCACCATAGGCTTCAGTGGATGTGTCGGATCGCTTCGCGAAAACACTTCTTTTCTCACGTTCTATTCAACGCTACTAGGACTTCTGCTCATTGCTGAAATATCGGCTGGAGTTTTTGCCTACGCCTGTCGAGACCAGCTAGACAACTACATCAGAAATCTCCTTAACGACGTAGTGGTTGGATATCGAGACGATCCAGATCTTCAATTATTGATTGACTCAATGCAAGAAACATGGATGTGCTGTGGAATTAACGGAGCTGATGATTGGGATAGGAACACGTATTTCTCAATTGAAGCTAGAGAAGTAGCATCCCCAGAAGCTGGAGGAGTACCCTTCTCATGCTGCATCAACAGTAGCAAGCTGGAATTCAAGAACTATTTTTGTGGCCACGGAGTTCGATTAAAGCCCGAAAGTCACATGGCAGCGCATTTGGCCGCGCAAAGAGTCATGGCTCACACATCGTCAATCTACACTGAAGGTTGTCTACCGAAACTACAACTTTGGCTTAATAACAATATGCTATTGGTAGCTGTTTCGATGGTTATCATTGCAATAATACAGGTAAGCATCAATTTTTCAATCATTAAACAAAATACAAAATTGCAGGTGCTCGGTATTTGTTTCGCTCAAAATCTCAAATCGGATATTCTGGCTCAACGGGCGAAATGGTACTACACTCATTAATAAATTAATCAACGATTTCTTGCACATCCTCTATGATATTCACTTCTACACAGCTTCGAATTACCAAAAAATGCCGGTCACACATCATCGCACACTTTGCAAAATACTATCACGATTCTCTCATTTTTCTTTATGTCACAATTTCATCAATTTGTTCCATTCTTGTTCCAAACTCCACATTTTTACTGGTACCATACTTGTGAGATTTCAATAAAGAATACTTTCGTTTTCATTGTTGATAAATTTAATAGTATTATGTAGTCCCTAGAAGCTCAGTCAGTATATAATAATTGTTTAAATGGCTGGTTATGAGTGACATTTGAAGAATGACGGAAGAGAAAGTAGCAACGTATGATCCGCCAACGAGTTTGAAGCAAACAATTTTCAATTTCATATTAGGACGACAAATAGATTCAGAAGAAAAAAATGAAGGAAAAATTACGGTATAGTCTGAAAGTCATAACAAAATAAAACGGGTTTTGAAGGAATCTTTCATCAAATACGTGCGAGCTGAGCGTTTTTACAAGCTCTCCGCTTCGCTTTCCTTTGTGATTCTCGTTTTTCTCATTGGAATGCCAATGTGGTACCTCACAACGTCGACTTATCGTGCTCCATTTCCAACCTTCCCTGCAAATAGATCAATCACTGTTGAAGTTCGTATAAACTTTGCAATAGCATCCGATGAAATGGGTGAAGATGTTCAAAAAGTAATGCCGGAGTTAGAATACAACATGACAACGAAGGAAGTTGTGGCTCCGTTGGATTTTCAATGGAGAACTCGTTTCATTGGAGTACGAAAGTTTGACGATCTTGAACGAGATCATTCATTGAAAGTTGAAGAAAAAGAAGAGTTCTTCGATGTCTTCATATGCTTGGTTTCAGAAAAAGTAAAGCTCGTTATTTCAAAAAAGCATATAAATTTTGATTTTGAGGACTGGAAGCACTATTCTGCGACGCGTGTTCAGTTGGGAATAGGAAAATGGAACTTCGTTCAATGGCCAGAAAAGTCGGAAGAGAAAGCAAAGGCATCTAGTAGAATCACGGAATTAGTGTCAGACACACTTATAGATGTACCCCATTTGAATTCGATTGTGAGGAGAGATCTTCGTCAGAAAATGCAACCATGGCAAATTGCTGCTCTCCCGCTTTCACATCAGGTTTTGACGGCTCATTTTTTCATTTTTTCAGTATTTTGATTTCAGAAAAGATTAGTATGGGACTCAGCACCGCTGGCAACCAACTATCATATTCAAGTGATCCATCTTCATGAGAACACTGAAATTCCAACTGAATCACTTGAACAACAAAAACGAACAGCTGCTGCTTTGAGAAAATTTGCAGAGAAAGTTCAAGGAGTCACTAGAGTTGATGTTTCGATTGAACATTTATGGGATTTCGAACCAACTACACAATTCTTGGCAAAAGACGTTCAGGAGAGATGGACATTGACACATTCTGCGATGGAAGAGTTAATTAAGAAGGTGGATGCTCAAATGCAAACGAGTTTGGTACAAGGAACAGTGCTTCGATTTGTAGTTCTGGAAACATCAGAGCCCGTTGTGGTTCTCGATGAAACTGGAGAAGATATTGATGGAGTGGCTGTTGCTTCATGGGGAGCTGTTTTACCTAGGAACGAAGCAACTGAATCAAAGGCCATAGCTGCTATGAGGTTAGAGAAATCCAAACAAATCGTTTTTGATAGAATGTAAACATTCCAGAATTCAAATGGGAATGGATGCTGAACTCTTAATTGGATGGCACCGTCCTTCAGTTGCCCTCTGCCAGTGGGAGGTTGCTCGTGCGAGACTCCGTGCTTCTGTTGACAACGCCATGCGAGCTGCCAGTGCTGTTCGGGCACTAGATGAACTTGCACATAAAATTTCGAATATCGCAATCAACGATGACGTTGCTGGCAGAGCTACACGAGCTGTGAATATTCTGGACGAAGTTGTTCGTCCAGGAAAACGACTTGATTTCGAAAGTCTACTCGAAGCACGCCGTCTTGCAGATTCTGCAAATTATGACCATTCTCTTCTTGCTATGTTATATTTCCCAATGGATCAAAGAACAGCGGTTCTCATTCCTCTCGCTGTTCCAATCGTTCTACCTATTTGTAAACTTATTTTTGAAATCAGCATGGTGATATTCAGGGGATTTCTGTGATAACTGAATTTATAATTTCATTTGTATATTTTACGGGACACAAATCATTGTGACAAATGTACTAGTTTTACTTTTTTATGTCGATCTGTTAATATTATAATAAATGTTTAAATTTTAAACTCGTGAACTTGAAACGTGGATCGAATTTTAAAAGTATCATCAAAATACGAATCAAGCGAAGGCAAAGAGCATTTTTACACTACTAATCGCCCTCTTGCTTCTCTTCGGACTATGTTGAAATCTCCTACTTCACGCAATAACCTTCTTACTTCCAGGGTAAGGTGGAAACTATTTCATATCAATGGACAATTTTTTCAGGAAGGTCAGCGTACTCAAGTTCCAGAAGGTGGTGAACTGGTATGCTATCGGAATGAAGAAAATCAACACCTCTTTCTGAAAGTCGAATACTCGCGGGAAACGGTACGTTGAAATTTTTGATGACCCAGTTAAATGCTTGATTTCCAGATGATCAAACTTTCATCTTCGATTCTTTGCCACCAGCGACCCACAGGACTCAAACAAATAGCTGAAGAGATGCCTGAACTGCTAGGACTACCCCATCCAATCCCTATGACTGCATCTTCGCCAATTCTTGAACACTCGTCTAATCATAAAATCAATTCTTATCACGAACACTCGCCATGTCATCTGTTCAGTCCAGTGCGCGGACCTGTTACGGAAGCTGATGAAGCGTCAAGAGTTTTGAGTAACCAGCGAGAACTACAGAAACGGATTCAACTGATGACATTGCAAGAAGAATTGACACCTCGTAGATGCTTGATCGATTGCTTCGACACGTCTTCAGTTCTTGGAATTTGAAATTCTTAGTTCACATGATTCGAATGCCAATAAATATTTATATTATAAAAACTGTTGTCTGACTTGTTTCTTTGAAATTCCTAAACTCTCAATCTCTCAAGTTTTCCAATTCGAAAAATCGGAAATGCAGAAATTTGAAAGCCCGAAAATTCTGAATTTCAAAAATTAGAAAATTCGGAGATTCAAAAGTTCGGAAATTCAAAAATTCAGGCATTGAAAAGTCTCCAAAAAAAATTCCGCAATCCGGAATTTTGAAATTTAAAAAATCAAAGTTAGGAAAGTTAGAAATTCCTATATTCGAACATCCAGATATTTGGATATCAAAAATTCACCATTAAAAAACTGCAAAAATCACAGAAACTGAAATGTTCAGAGACTTAGACATCCTGAAATTTAGACATGCGGAAAATCAGAAATCCAAAGAACTTGAATTCAGAATTTCAGAAACCCAGAAACTTAGAAATTCAGACAGTGAGAAATTCAAGTATTCCAAAGTTAAAGATTCATGAATTTCAATTTCCAAATTTTCAAATTTTCAAATTCCTGAATTCAATACCGCCTGAATTCTAGAACTTTAAATTCTTTGAATTCTGGAAATTGAGAAATTGAAAAGTTATCGAATTTCTGAAACTCGGAACTATCTGAATTTTTGGATTCCGAATTTTTGGATTTCCCGAGTTTTGCTATCACTCGATTTCTAGAATTCAGGTTTACTAAATCTCTGAATTAACACATTTTTGAATTGCACAGAGCAAAAATTCTTTGACTGCATTCCACCAAAAAGTACTGGTAACACCAACATTGAAAAATCACATGGAAAAGAGTGTTGAAGTGATTTCTACCTTGTATATGATTTTTCCTCAACTTTCAATTTTGGAATCAATAGAAAAACAATAAAGTTCCCCTCTGGCAAACAAATCTGTTGTTTACTCTTTGGATGAATGCTCACTGGTTGATTGTAATCTCTGCTGACAAAAAGAAGAGCAGTGCACACTTTTTCCTTTATCTCTTTATTATTGAAGAACTTTCTATATCGTGAGAGCAATGGTTCAGTATAAGTTAACATATTTCAATGCTCGCGGTCTTGCTGAAATCTGTCGACAATTATTTTATTTGGCAGGAGTGGAATTTATAGACGAGAGACTGGATGAAGAAGGATTTGCTAAATTGAAATCAAGTGAGAATTTTTAAAATCGATTTTATTGAGTTTTTTAATTTGAAGGTCTGCCTACCGGACAGGTTCCCATTCTTTATATTGACAATGTTCCGTTCTCCCAGTCGACTGCTATTGCAAGATATTTGGCTAGAAAGTTCGGTGAGTCTTTTTCGTGTAAAAATAAATTATTAGTAAGCCCATTTCAGGATTCGTTGGCAAAACAGCGGAAGAAGAGTTGCTGGCAGACTCGATTGTTGACACATTCAAAGATTTCATTGAAAGTTTCCGAAAATATGTAGTTGCAGCTTTGACAGGAAAAGGAGAAGAAAAAATGGTGGTTTTTGTATTTAACAACGACCGATAATTTTTAGAAAAATTACAGAAAGAAATCAGAGAAAACATAATGAAACCAGCAGTGGCCTCCTACTTCCAATACCTAAACAAAATTTTGGAGAAGAGTGAATCTGGATTTTTGGTTGGATCTCAACTCACATGGGCTGATTTGGTAGTTGCAGATAATCTGACAACACTGATTAACGCAGAATTCATGGCCGTTGGGAAAGAAAAGATGTTGGCCGAATTCCGTGAGAAAATTATCGAAACTCCAAAATTGAAGGAGTGGATTGACAAAAGACCAGTGACCAGATTTTGAAATGTTTGAATTTTTTACTCTAATAAAACTGTTTTAGTTTTATTTTTTGCCCACATCTATGTTATTTTTCTACAGAAAGAACAATATCTGTACCTAATCAGGACACTGTGTAACCTTATTGAAAATTATAGTATGTTCAAATCTTTATTTCGTTCTGGGGAACCGCCAGATAGTGTTGGTATGAATCCAATAAAAACATTTTTTTCGCAATGAGAAAACATATTTTCAGACATATTAAAATTGAAAAATTCTGAGAATTCACACATTCTCTTCTCCACTTTCGCTGACGTCGTCTTCTTCTTCGTGTACCGTAGATAAGTTTCTATCAAACTTTTGCGTTTTCCTTTGAGTTGGAGACGCTTGCACTATTTTCTCTGGAATAGTTCGGGATAATTTAAATGAATCCCCGAAAACTGAAAACCTACCAATGGCAAGAGATTCGGCATATCCACTGTAGTTTCTAACTTGTACCAACTTCTTGGAAGCGATTTCTTTGTAGTTCGACTTATTTTTAAGGCATTCAGAATTGGATGAAGATGACACCTTCTGATTCTCAACGTCATCATCATCAGCCCATTGCACTTTACGTGGTCGTATCATTTTGTTTTGCTATCTGGAAAGAAAGAATATCTTCAAGGAAATATAAAATTCAACAAAAACGAAGAGCTAAAATAGTAAACAAGTCAACAAACAAGATGACCTAAATATACGAAATGGTTGGGTTTTATAGTCGAAAATGGGGGAATACCTTCAAACGTTTTATGAGCAAACACAGAGAGGGTGGATTCTATTTTTAATCTCGTTGTCAATAGTATCAGACATTAAAATTCAAATTCATCATAAAATTTCAGTCAAAACACACTTGTCTGAATTTCGATTTTTGTCAAAATGACCTAGAAAGTGACTGAAAATGACCACGGAGAGCTGAAAATACGAGTGAGATACTGGTTTTTTTGTAGGTGAAATTTGGGCACGGAAATGGACAACGTTTGATTTTTCGGTGGCATGATGATGGGAGTTATGGTTATGCAAATGAGGCCACGATTTTCAGAATTTTTCAGGGAAGTTTATTTTTTTGTATGGGGTGATCGATGAATAAAAAAGGTCTCGAGTGCCGACAAAACAAGTGACAAGAAAGAAAAAAAAAATTTTATAAGAAATTGATCCGTTTGTTTTGAACTAAATTGATTAATTATGAACTAGTAAGAATGCTGATTACCGTAAAACCTGTAATAGAAGGGCCCCTTAACATTTCACTTTGAGCAAATTTATATTATTCCCTGTCAAAGATATAAAAAAGTAGTCAAATAACAAATTATTCCTCACAATATCATATTCATTTTATCAGTTGACGGATTTTTGATATCAAGAAAAATTAGTTCGTACTTGACAGTATGGGGGCCCTTCTATTACAGGTTCTAAGGTATGAAGATGATGAAGTTAAAAATTAGAAACAAGTCTAGGAGTGATCTATCTGTACCACATATCAATGTTCCACAAGCGTTTTTATCATTGAAGTGACTGGTTTTATTTTTATAGATTTAATGTTTTCCTGGTTAGTTTATGACACGTGTTGTTGCAACAACTTACAGAAGCGGAATCGTTGAATTTTCGACTAACAACAGAACTTTGTTATTTTTTTGGGCAAATCAACAAAACGATTTTGTAGAATAAAAAACTTTGAAACTCGGTGTGGGATGTTGGAATTGTAGATTGAAGCTTATGGAAGAGAATGAAGCTGGGTGTGGAAATTGCAATTTGAAACGACAACACAGAAAAGTGAAAAATGTTTATATTTTTCCGTTTGACGCCCCCGAGGTGAAATGACAATGAAAGCACATTTTGATGGGGGAAAATTTCCATGGAATATGAAGAAAAATATAATAGGAGATGAATGGGGAAGAGAATGGTGTGACGAAGAACGTTTGAACTGTAAATATTTGAAGGGACGCGGGGTGAAGAATAATGATGTTGAACTGGAAGATCGGAATCAAGAAAAAGTGTGACGTAGCAAATATGTCTGGAACATAGATATTAGTTTCAAAGAACTTGACACATCAACGTTTTTCAGACACCTATTGAAAATTATCTGAAAATTGGCATACTTATACTTTAAGGCATAATCTTCCCGATGATAAAAAATTTTAGCCCGTTCTCAGCGGAATGCTGAAAAATTCTACTGGAAAGTTTAGCCGATTTCAGAAATGGGCGAGGCGCGGCTGAAGACCGCTGGAAAGACAACGATGATCCGTCGGCGAGCCACTCAACAATGTGGGATAGTTTTAATTTTTAGGATGTTTATCACAGTAGCTAAGAAACCGAATCCTAGCCATACGTTTTTCAAATTTTCATCAAAAACCTTTCTGCTACTCTAAACGAATGAATGGCGGCTGAGTAGTTGTGGGGATACCAAGGTGTGGTTTTTTCACTTTGGAATAAAATAATAACTTGATAAAATATCAAAAATCGATTTTTTGATCGGTCCTATCTTTTAAAAAATTATCTTATCGTTAATAAACTAAAACTTTTGGTTCTGGAAATTTCGAAAGTACTTGTACAAATTTAAAGCAAATTCTCAACTGGTATCTTAAAAACTTTCCTTTGTAAATATTGTTTTGTATCATCTTTTGTGGGTCAACTAAAAATGAAGTTACGTGAATTCCAACAATCATCGCTAATTGGTTAACTGCAATGCAGTTAATGACAACTCATTTTGGAGTGTCATCTGGAAGAAAGTGAGTTGCTACATTACAGGTTATTATCGATATTTATAGAAAGCTTAGATTAAGAAAAAATGAATTCAAAATTGGAAAATGGTCAAGATATCTTCTGTGGATCCATGAAACTTTTTACTGAACATTTCAATGAAATTCGGAAATCAACTATATCGTATGTCTCTATTCTGAATATTCCATGGTTTGTCTTTGAAGAAAAAGTGATTTTCAGACAAAAATTACTTTCTTTCAGGAACATGAAAGTGTCTGAAACTGACAAAAAACTGACTTTCAAATTATCATGTAATGAGAATACGGCGAACACAATGTGGAATTGTAAAGCAGATGTGGAAATTTATGTGAAACCGATTCTGGATGGAAAAATAGAATACTCGAAAATTGAGAAAGTTCTAGATGATCAGAAGACTTTCGATTACAAGAATAAACATATGGAAGTTAGTATTGGAGTAGATCAACTTGGTCTAGAAACTGAAACGTTGGAAAATTATCATTTCGAAGTGCAGACCAATCTTAGATTGAAAAGGATTTATGGATATCGAAAGAGGAAAGTTCTCGATTACACCGTCGAGCATCCAAGATTTTCCAATGGAGTCATCGTGATTGATGAAAGGAAAATATATGTCAACAAACAAATTCTGGCTATGCATTCCAAATATTTTAATAATCTGTTCTTTGGTGATTTCAATGAGAAAGGCCAATCAACTGTACAGATTCATGAAGTTTCATACGAGGGATTCATCACTTTTCTCGATTTTATTCATCCAACAGGACGTCGGATTGAGTCATCTTTTGTGGAAGGATTGATGGAAGTAGCGGATTTATTTATGGCTGATAGAGTGATGGAATATTGTGAAGAGTTTTTGATTAAAACGGAAATCATCGAAAAGGCACAGAAAATGATATGGGCTGAAAAATATTCTCTTCATAATTTAATGGTCGGTTCTTGATGCTAAACGCCTGAAATTTCAATAAATTTCAGAACGAATGTCTCCATACGTTCAAGTCAGTCAAATCTCTTCTTGAACTGAAAAAGTCGGATTTGTATTTTGACATTTCCGACGAAATCAAGTCTTCACTTCTGGAACGGGCTGTCCAACTTCACAAAGAAAAACACGCCCCCTCGAATGCAACTTCTTCTGTGTATATGTTTTAGATCGAACCGTGAAGAGAAACGCCGGTGGCCGTGGACGAAGGTCCCAAAAAAACAGCTACCTTAACCTATAAATATTTTAATCTATTTATCGTTTTCACT